GGATAATTAGCACAGTTAAACAAAAGCACATTAAAACAAACACTGGTACAGTTGGTTATAATAATAATTGTTTTTAATAAACCAGTCGTGTTCTCGTGATAAATGTGAGTCACTACATATTGATAAAAGTTAAAAGGCACACGAATATAATGTAAATGTCACAAAGAGAAATGGTTCGACAAACATAATGATAATAATAAATGGTAGAATTTATAACATAGAACGGACTTACCAAAGTGCACTAATTTTATCAGTTGTTTGTGAAATAACGTTATTTATTATGAGTATTATCGTTACGTTCAATAATGTTTGCGAGATAATGTGCATGAATTAAAATAGTGATATAATAAATCATCAACTATGATTATAATCCAGATGATAATCCAAATTGAGACAAAACGCGACGAATTTTCGAAATTCGATTATATCGTCGAAAATTGTTTCGTGTTCGTACGTCGGGGTCACCAATTATGTAGTGGCTTTACTTCGCTAATCGTTCACCTCGTTACCCATCATAATATAAATCTCAATGGTATTCGAAATCAGAGGGCTATGAGAAACGGCAACTACAGTTTCTTAGCTGATAGCGCAGATCACAAAGCTATAAGCACATCGAACGAACTGGAAGTGGAGAGGCGAATAAGTACATACAAGCAAATATCTAAGCATATTTATAGTCGAATTGCATAAGGCGCCAGCAAGGACTAATAATAGGATTTTAGTACATAGATACATGGGGAGGAGGATGAATTATCGAGTGACATTTAAACAATCAATATTTTAGCTCGATTCTATCAATATGATCTATTGATAATAAATGTACAAAGAAATATGCAAATTGTTACTGTTCAAATAACAGTCTGTTAAGAAAGGGGCTTAACCAAAATTAACCATAATCCAAATTGACTGTAGGATAGTTGTTATAACAATCTTCAATTGGTTTAAATGATTATCTCTGGTTAGCGTTTGTTTAGCAAGGTTGATTGGTACGGGATGTTGTTACTAGACACATCCCCAATCATGAATGACTGACTGTTGTTAGTTTGATCAAAATACTTGAATGTGAATTCTTATTCACATATATGATGCTATTAATATTAACAGTGCTAAAGCTCCAGCAACTGCTACTTAAGTTATTCGAAAATATTTTTGTAGTCTGTATATATATGTATGACGATTGTTAATTTGATCTTGACACCTGAATATAAAGGTCTGATTGCATATTCGATGTTACTATTTACGAGAGTCCTAAACCTTCAGCAAATGTTAAGTAAATTTTTTGTTTATGATCATCGTGATATTGTTTTAATAGTAGTGATCCTATAAATAATCATTGAACGTAACTGTGTTAATGAATTATCCCACTAACCGAAACTCACTCCTTTGGAATTATATCCGAATCGATTAATAACATATAAGGAATATTAAAACCTTTTTAATATTCTTAAAAAACGATTCCACAGAACTTCATGAATGAGTTAATTTTATAAGAAATAAATGGGTTCGATTGTCATACCGCAAATCTTTTTGTCCATATATGATCCTCTCAATAGTAATGTAATAAGTCATGATTTTATATTAATGAAGGGAACAGGAAGTTTTTCAAATTTTTTTGGAAATTGTTATTTAGTTTTGATGAATTTGTTTTCTAGCGCTTAGTAGCTTAAAACTTAAGTTCGGAAGTTTCTTTTATTCTCCTCAATCCACCTACATTAAGGTGGCATCAATATCATATGCTACTACGAATGAAGTAAACATAATTTGTTGTCAATATTAAGTTATTAATTGGTGAATATGATATTATTATATTTTTTATTATCAGTAAGAGGTGAGTAATTTATGAGTCCTTTTGAATGTCATAATTTGTCATTTTTATTTTTTAATGTAGACAGAGATATTGGTTCTTGAATAAAATGTTCTTATCTACATGATGATTAGTAGTGTTGTAGTGAACGAGAATGATAAGTCTTGCTGATTGAACGCTATATTCGTTTCCCAAGCTATTCTGTAACCCCTAAGCTACAACTATACAGTGACCTGAACACGAGAGAGAAGACGCAAAGTATGCGAGAAGTAATTTACTTCAAGGTTCATTTTTGTACAGAAAACATGGGTATTTATTGATGTTAACATTTGTTAAATCAACATCATACTTTAGCCAATCCGCTAAAAGATACATTATGCTACTGACCAATAGTAGCACGCCATGTTGACATTCTAGAAAGCTCCATCATGCTTTGATTGGCTAGGACTCTTCGGCTCCTCTAGGGCCTCTGGAGGCTCCGTTGCAGTTCTCGGAAAGCCGACTCAACAGAGAATACAAGTGGGGACAATCGAATGTATTTGAATATAAAGTTACAGAATCACTAAGTAAAATCTGATAACAATAGATACTTCATTTGCAAAATGTCAATCAATCATCTCAGACTTCACTGTTGTTTCATTTCTACACTAATCATTCTTTGTTCTCGTTCTCTTTTCTTTGATCTTCTTAACCTTTTGCTGCTAGACATACATGATACTTATATCTGTCGACGTTAGTAGCACACACTACAGTATTTATTTGGGTTGTAATTTGATTAGGTTGAAGATATCGATAGTAATATGAACTAAGATGGCTGTGTTCATGTTTTTCTCTGGCGGATGGAGATGAATTTTAATTCGTGTTTTCATCCACCTCCTCTAATATGTGTTCACAGTAATTGCACCATTAATTGACCTTAAATCTAATTGCAGTAAGGATGGTATATACAGACTTATAAAGTGAATGGTTTACTGAAAACAATCTTTGAATATTATTATTTTCCTTGAAAAAGCTTGGACCAGATTGCCAGGCGAAACGTTGGATTTACTTCAAATTCATTCGCTGAGATTTTACAAATATATTCTTCTTTTTAAATCTTTGAATATTAGTTTACATTAAAATGAACTTAAATTTTGGATAAAGACTATTTAACTCTAATGCACCAAGTAAATATATTATAATTTTGCAAGACCTAAAACTCATGGTATATATTACATTACCTGTACTTACATAATGTCAGTATGCATGAAATTAAAACAATATATATATCATTTTCAGTTATTTTACAGATGTATTGAATTGACAATGAAATGTTTTTCTGTACACCATCTATCAATATCCGGTTGTTTTAAGAGTTACCAATTATTTATCTATAATATTTCAGTGAGCTTCTTGTTGTAGCAACATAGTTGAGCGAGACTATAATATATGAACGAATCAATCAGGTATAAGGTAACAAGTCTCGAATTTTGGCGTGAAACCAATTCGTTCACCTGGCTAAATAAAGTTTTGGCATTATAACTGATATCATTTCGTGATGAAAACCCTAAATCTAATTCCTAACCTTAACCATCAACTGCAAATCATAACTTTAACTTCCCACATTGGTTAATAATCCTCATTTGGCCCTAGTTATTAGGTGGATAGTTCCAAGGTCACTTTAGCATCTCTCAAAGGTTGTCGTTTAGAGAAGAAAGTTTTTTTTAGATTTCAAAATCAAGAACATTTATTGAAGATTAAATAAGTCCCTAACCAATCAATCCAGTTGAACATTTGACAGATAAAGCTTGATACTTTAACAGATAATTAGTTCATTTATATTTATACTAAACAAACAGAATTAGTTCAACCAATTATTGTATATTAATAAATAAATAGTTGACAGTACTCACTAATTAATTGCTTCTAGTATTAGAAAGTCTATCTTTGAATATATATTTTATAGAGTTTGAATTATTTTGTGTAGATGATTTTATATGGTCAAACTAATTATTCTGTCACCAATTGTCCTTGTTGTAGACCACATGATGAACGGTATGTTAAATGAAAGTCTTTTTTTGTTGAGTGATTTTATAACATAGATAAATCTTTGTTAACATTACATGATAAAGAATCATTAGTTTGTTTCATTTTTATAAACTTACTTACTTACTTACGCCTGTTAATCCCAATGGAGTATAGGCCACCGACCAGCATTCTCTAACCCACTCTGTTCTGGCCCTTCCTTTCTAGTTCTATCCAATTTTTGTTCATTCTTCTCATGTTTGTCTCAATTTCTTGACGTAATGTGCTCTTTGGCTTTCATCTTCTTCTTTGGTTTCGAGGATTACAAGTGGGGCTTGCCCTGTAACTCAGTTTGATGCTTTCCTCAATGTGTGTTCTATCCACTTCCAGCGCTTCTTCCTGATTTCTTCCTCCAGGCGGAGTTGATCAATTAACTACTTTCTTTTGAAAATAGATACTCATAAAGGTCATTGTACTTATACCAATAAATATTTCTAAACGCTTATGTGGTTTGTATATCTGTAAAATGGTCGGGTTATTGGCTTTACTAACCTATTATTTCTATTTACGTCAAATCCCGATTCCAGCTGAAAGACAATTGTCAACCAATTCAACTTAATTGTTTGACCCCTGATATCATATTGTTCAGAATTTTGAAGTCAGATTGTAAATGTAGTTGATTGCTGTCTGATTTTGTTTTGTTTTTAAAAAAATGATATTAAGTAATGATGTAAGCTTTAGTTGAATAGAACCAATGTCCACATACTTCCCAAACAAGTATTATTGAATTACTGAACTAAGTATAAAAATAATAGAAATAATGATATAATTGTGGAATCGTATTGAGTAGAAAATTGAATTCCTAATGTTCATGATTTAATGTGGGTCACTTCTTTGAATAACAAATTAATGAATTTTACAAATATATCATTATTTCTAAATTCATTTGGTTTTATTTGCTTGTATCTTCTCATTTTTGTTTAAGACTGCAATTCATCAGTCTCTTGTTGGCATATGTGCATCGTGGGCGGACCGCCTCGATATTGCCTTAAGTCACAAGCGCTACAAACCAAGAGAAATGGTGGCTAGAAACGGAATCCAGGACGCGCGTTTCATCAGTTGGATGCACCTGTAGCCCGGAGTTGATGTTCACTCTGGGATTCGAGGAAAGTGCCGTTCGCTTCAAACGCCATCGCGTTATCCATCTAGCCAGGACGAAACGCGCCTCCTGGATTCTACTGCTAGCCACTATCCACCTTTATCGTTATTTCTGTTACTAACTATCTCCCTCCTTGCTTAACGTGTTTGAAATTATTAAATCACATCTCAATAATAATGTTTACAAATAATAACAGTGTTAAAATCACTAGTATATTAAGAACAGTGTCAACTAATTGAAGAAATCCAGCTTAATTGATAATCCCAGTTATTTTCAACTACATTTAGTTGTCTTCAACATTAAGTGTTTGTTTTGATTAAAGTGGTGTGATGGCTGCAGCGACTGCTCCGTAAGTTGGCCATGTTCTATTTGTGATTTAAGTATTTGTTTTTACAGGTTGTTATTGAATTTGAAAGTCATGGTTTTAATAATTTCTTAATGGTTAGAATTCGTTAGCAAGGCATTTTTTACGGGACAGGGTTGTTAACGTCATGGTCAACCGTACTCCTTTACCAAGGCTTAGTACTGGCAGTAACTGTAGAAGGGATTCAGGCGGAGTTCTAAAAGTCATAGAGAAAAAATATAAAAATCAAAGCATTCATTATGTATACTTGAAATGATTTAAAAGTGACTTTTTTGTTGTATCTCTGATTTAACTGGGTTTAGGGATAGAATATTTTTATGAACCTAGAAACCAGTATATAAGGTTAGCTTCACAAGCGTCTGGCGTACTGTACGTGGTAGTTTTCAATTATGATTCGATAAGAAATAACAATCAACGAATCCCGCTCGCGGGATCGTGGATGCGCACTGCTGAGGAGTCCCACAATAGGACGAAACGGCCGTCCAGTGCTTCCAGGTTTTCAATTGTGGTGGTCTAACATCAATCGGTTCATGATCTCAATCAAAAACTTAATAATCTCCACAACCCCTATACTAGTTAACAATCAACGAACTAGATAAGTTGTCGGAATTAGATTTAGCAGTCAATACTTAACAAAATGTTATGGCATTCTATCAGTTAGATTAGTCAAGATAACGTACTACTCACCAGTTAGTACATCTGAAGATGTTACAATGTTCAGTAGCGAATTTCAAATTCCGAATACTTTAAAAAAATAATAAAAAAATTTAGAGTAATCACAAAGTTACGACTTGTTAGCAGATATTAAAGAAGAAACTAAAGAAACGAAACTTGTAACGAAATTCACTACTTCTCTTAATCAAAGATGCATAACAACAATAATATCAAATATAAACTCCCAAATTATTTCATACCTATTCTGATATTTTTTCACTATATTTCTAATGAATAATCACAGTATCATACTTGGACTTGTTGGGTAAGAAACGAAAATATTACCTAATTCAATTTTGTATTGGTTGTTTGAATCTTCCTGTTTAATGTTTGGTACAGCAACTGATCAGTCACTTTTAGCATATACACATTAAGTCACTAGCATTTTCAGCGAAGATGGATGATGGCTTGTAGTGGAACTAAGGATACGCGTTTCGTCCTATTTTGGACTAGTCATCTGGATGTAACTGCATCCTAAAGTTGGTATTCAATCTGGGACTCTGGGATGTAGATACATCTAGCTGACCAGTCCCAAATAAGACGAAACCATTGACCTTGGTTTTAGACTTAGTTTGTGCCATCTGTATCAGTATTACTGAGAATACTTAAGTAAATAATGATTCCAATTATTCTAAATGCGATATAAAATTGTTAAAATTTCAATCAGATAGATGGTATTTGAAATTAATAGTGTTAGGAGATAAAATTGAAATAACACTGGGTTTATGGATTTTCGAAAACCACATATAACTCAAGAGCTTCTGCTTATGTAATCGGTACATCAAATCCAAGCAAAACACTGAAATAAAAAAATTTTACCTCAGAGATTTCGGTGGCTTGGAAGACATTTTTAGCTTATCGAGTATAGAACAAACTTTTATTTGGATTTCAAATGAATTCCAAAAATATTCTAATTCTTTAACTCAATGATTATGCGACAAGGTGAGACTATAATTCATGAACGACCTTTGAACAACACTTGACTGACCATGAGTGTTCACCCAATAACCAGTACCAAATAAGGGTTATAAACCTGTGTGAGGTATTAGAATCATGGTTTACAGTTGATGGTTAAGGTTAGAAATTAGATTTAGAGTTTTCATAAGTTACAATACCAAAACTCTATTTAGCCAAATAGATGACTGAATTTCGCGTCAAAGTCCAAGACCTGTTGTCACATACGTGATTGGTTCGTCTATAAATTATGGTCTCGCCTGTGACACTTTTGCAATACGACTAAGCTCTTATACTACTATTAATCAAAATAAATTCTTATTAGAATATATAGTATCTGTCAGAGTTTCATCATAGTTTTCTTAAATTTTCAGTATAGATAATGAGATTTAAACATAATTCTCTAGCCTTTATAAAACGTATGAAACATAATATAAATGAATGTTGGTGTAGATCACCAGCGTAGATAATCTATGTCGAAATGATTGGGGGCCTATTAGAGTTAGACGGAAATGGTGTGACCAACCAGCTAACGTCGAAGTCACACCTCGCGGTCAGCACCTTATGTGGATTGCCCCATCAATGTATCAAGGTACCACAGATGCTTTGAGGACTGTTCAACACAAAGGACGTTATTACAGAAATATATTGGTTAAAGTAGATACAAGCGAGAGTAAGGCCACCACCGCATGGCGTACGAATAACTGATGCGCGTTGGTCGTCCTTGACCTTGACAAGGATTGATGATCGGTTCGATATTCACTGACCTAACTGCCGGATGATTTAGCTAGGGCTTAGTGACATTTCTTTGACCCTACATCGGACAATTGTTTCTTGTGGATTTGAAAGTAATAAACATTGATTAATACAGTAATAAGGTTTCATTTTGAAATTTGAAGCTAATTATATCATAAAAACACTGGTAATCACTATATAATTGTCAATATGTTTTCAATATGACTCAGTTAAAAGGTTCATGCCAAGAACAATCATTATTACCATTACAATATGATCAGTACACTATTAAAGGAATAAATGGATATTTTAACAGAAATATTAGGTACATTTACGTAACCTCTAATACAACATCATTCAATATAAATACAGTCTATAGTACAAGGATATAAGAAGTGTGCTGTTTAATATGAATAGGCAAGTGATTGGTTATATAATGTAAGTTCAGTATATATTTTTTCCTATATAATTTCTTATAAAGTACAATTTGAATTGATTTCATTTAGAGAATAGAATTGAAATGGTATACAGAAATGTTGTACTTTATAATTTGAAATGTGATTTTGACAATGTAATGATGTAATTCATTTTGATGGAGTTTTGTTCTCTGAGCTGGATGGTTTAGTTGACCAAACCATCCAAAACCATTAAAATCGTCCACCTGAGGTACAAATCTTGTCCACCATCTTGAAGTAATTCATATTGAAATAAACCAAGTGTTTTCCTATTAAACAAATATGTACTGTTGATTCTTTTAATTGTTTAATGAAATAAATATAATCATCAATATAACAGTTGAGTCTAGAGTGCGAGATTGTAGATACACACTGCTGGGGAGTCCCATACTAGAGCCAAACAGATGTCTAGTATTTCCAGGTTTTCAATAGTGATCTAACACTGATCGGTTCATGATCTCAATTGAAGTATAATTTTATTGTCATATAAGGTTTTGACA